TCAGTATGTGTTTTATCATAATCCTTTATATTTCAGTGTGTGTGATTATAATCCTTTATATTTCAGTGTGTATTTGATTATAATCCTTTATATTTCACTGTGTATTTGATTATAATCCTTTATATTTCAGTGTGTGTGTGATTATAATCCTTTATATTTCAGTGTGTGTGTGATTATAATCCTTTATATTTCAGTGTGTGTGTGATTATAATCCTTTATATTTCAGTGTGTGTGATTATAATCCTTTATATTTCAGTGTGTATTTGATTATAATCCTTTATATTTCAGTGTGTGTGATTATAATCTTTTATATTTCAGTGTGTGTGATTATAATCCTTTATATTTCAGTGTGTGTTGTATTATAATCCTTCATATTTCAGTGTGTGTGATTATAATGTTTTATATTTCAGTGTGTGCTAGATTATAATCCTTTATATTTCAGTGTGTGCTAGATTATAATCCTTTATATTTCAGTGTGTGCTAGATTATAATCTTTTATATTTCAGTGTGTGCTAGATTATAATCCTTTATATTTCAGAGTGTGTGTGATTATAATCCTTTATATTTCAGTGTGTGTGTGATTATAATCCTTTATATTTCAGAGTGTGTGTGATTATAATCCTTTATATTTCAGTGTGTGTGTGATTATAATCCTTTATATTTCAGTGTGTGTTGGATTATATTCCTTTATATTTCAGTGTGTGTTGTATTATATCCCTTTATATTTCAGTGTGTGTTGTATTATAATCCTTTATATTTCAGTGTGTCTGTTTGATTATAATCCTTTATATATCAGTCTGTGTTGTATCATAATCCTTTACATTTCAGTTTGTTTTAGATTATAATCCTTTATATTTCAGTGTGTGTGATTATAATTCTTTATATTCAGTTTGTGTTTGATTATAATCCTTTATATTTCAGTGTGTGTGATTATAATCCTTTATATTTCAGAGTGTGTGTGATTATAATCCTTTATATTTCAGTGTGTGTGTGATTATTATCCTTTATATTTGAGTGTGTGTGTGATTATAATCCTTTATATTTCAGTGTGTGTTGGATTATATTCCTTTATATTTCAGTGTGTATTTGACGTGGACTCAGAGAAGGGACTTTAATTTTAAAGGAGATTGCAGAAAACGAAGATGTCGCCAGCATTGTTGGTGCCACCAACTGTGAATTTGTGGTAGGTGTAAATTAGCTAATCCTTATAATAACTGAGTTTACAGTTGTGTGAATTTCTTTTTAAAAAGTTAAATTAATGAAATATTAAACAACGAACTATGCCATGTGTGTAGGATATTAAATTAGAAAAAAAATATTGAATGAATCAAATTTACATAATTTTTAGTAACAGATATTGCCTTTAAATAGTGTTGTATGATTTATTTATTAATAAATGAATTTTGTGTATACTGTTTGTGCAATTTGCCATATTTTGAAAGAATCTTGTGATATTTATTTTAGACTTCTTTGCTGGACTGCACCTGGCCTTGGGGCCATAAAAGTTATATGAGCTCACTTTTGATATCTGTCTCACTTTTTCACAATATATTCCTTTGATAAAGGTTAGATTGAGATCAAAAGTGAGCTTGTCTAAGTTATGGCCCCCAGACCAGAGACTAAAATAGATTATTTTGGTATCGAGATCCATGTCATGTGTTGAGCAGTACCAAATAATTCTTTTTATTTCTTATATCAGGTTGCTCCAGATGTTAAAGTAATGGGACAGATTCAGACATAGATAAGGAGGAGACAACTCAATGCTGGTCTTGTCAATGTGTGTGTCTGTCTTCTATGTGATATGTAGACTTATAAACAAAGTGTCATGATGAGAACTATAGCCCAAGCACCGGTGTAGAGGTCAGAGGTCAAAACACTCAATTTAATCGGTGATCTGAGCCTCATGTTATAATTGTGAGACAAATATGTTTATGTTTCGTTATGTATTGTAGGGATAGATTAACATGCTCTCATCTACTTTTGGCAAAAATGATATTTCACAGAAGAAGACAATATTTTGTTTTGTATACATGATTTTACTCATAGTCTCATAAAGTTCTGCATAATAATTAAAATTTTCTGAGTTTTCTGTGCTATTCACAAACAAATATTTGCCTAAACAGCTTTAAAAAAACATTGTTTCATTAGTCATGATTTCTCTGTTTAATTAATGATGTACAATGTGTATGACCTTCAAACATGATTATAAATTATATAGCTATAAAAATTATTTCTGAATTAGATTGTAATTGATTTTTTTTTCCATGATACATTTTCTTTTTTTTTTTGATAGAGTCTTGACAATTTACCTTTTTCCTCCAAATAATAACTTGTCCTTGGTCTTTATACTAGTATTAAACATTTTGATACATATGTACAATTGAATATTTATATCTGAGGGCATTTTTAAATGATATAAGCTTTTTTAATTGATGATGAATGTATGTATTCTGAGATATTTGTTTAATTTTAGAATAAAAGTGATATTTCTGGGGTTTTTTTTGTATTACACATAGGTTTATAAATTGAACAGCCAAGGAAACATCAGTATGCTGCGAGGAAGAATCATCTGTTTCTCCATCTTAATTACTGTCGTCATTAAGTGTCCATTATACATTTTCATGCATTAAAAATATCGGATTTTCAGATAATGAAATGCTACATGAAAATTTTTATGAAATAAATTTTATTTCTAAAAACTTCATTACAAAGAAAAACCCTGAGGGCAAAAGACCTGTGTAAAGAATGTTTACATTGAGATATCAAGATAGCAATGTCAGTATTTTATCAATTTACATCAGTGTACATGAAAGCAATAACTGTGTAGTTGTTTATAATGTCCTTGTAGTAGCCACTAAATACTGAACAGTTCAATTGTCAATACTACACAGTTGTACAATGACACAGTATTAAACAGTTATACAATAATATAGTACTACACAGTTATTAGAGTATATACTACTACACAGTTATAAAATTATACAGTACTATACAATTTATACAATTACTGCATACAGTACCACACAGTTATAAAATTATACATTAATTAGTACTAGAACATTTTACAATTAAAAAGTATACATAGAAATATGATACAATTAGTATATCAATAAGCAACAGTCCTTCTTCCAGAATTGTGAATTTTAAGCTCCCAGCTGGGTCAAGGATACCATATGATGGAAGGGAAAGAAGGGAGAAGATGGGCTGATGATTACTACTGAAAATAAATAATTACTGCTTTGAAATCTGCTCCTTGGTATTAATTAAACATTAATGATGAGTAAGGATGCCTTTTCCAAAATTGTGAAATGGATAGATCAAGGGTCAGGGGTTCCTTTGGGATTTGGGGCACTATACTGATTATAACTGATTAGTTGAAATGCATTTTGTTGTTTCCCTATTCTGCCTAATATTGGTATTAAGAAATTAAACTAAGTATGCTAAGTGTTTTGTTATGCCCTCCTTCGAAGAATGGAGGGTATATTGCTTTTATTTTCTGCTGTCTGACAGTTGGTCTGTTTGTTCTTACAGGTACTGTATCACTATGTGGTGGCTTGTGGGAGTTTGTTACCATCTTAAGTTTTGTTGCCCTGGCAGGTTTATTGATATTGAAGATAACCTTACGTGTGTTAGTTTTAATATTTTTGTTAAGTTTGTCACCTGGCATTAGTCTGAATGTCCCCTTTGTTATTCTGAAGGCTCAAGGTGTTACACAAGTGATTATTGACTGTGAAAATAACAACTTTCTGTGCACGTCATGTGACTGAGAAATTTTTATTCAACTCATGTGCACGATCAATAACTTAAATCTGTTACATGAATTAAGATTGATTTTTGTTCAAAAATAACTTTGAATGATGAAATTTGAACTATTATTATCAGAAAAATTTAAAAGACTTTCTTACTAAAACTAAAGGTGGAAAACCCGTTTGTAACAATTATTTTAAACAAATTCTAATGAATTTTGTTGGATAAAAAAAGATATATGTTGCTGGTGTTTTGGTAACAATTTATGAAAAAAGTTTGATGAGTTTATGAATCAGATAAGTAAATCATCTACAGTAACCCTAGATCACTTCATTTTCATTACCTCGATCTTTATGAGTAAAACAGAATATTTACAAATTGTTTATTGCTCTATATTATCTTTAGAAGTATAAATATATTCAAGAATGAAATTTTCACAAGCAGACCAGCTGTCTTGGGTAAATATGTGAAAATAAAGTTCTCGTGCATATATAGTGATTTACAGTATATAGTTCATGGAATAAGTATAGATATCAGGCTTCAGAATAATTTCATATGAAAGCAGAACATGGCTTATTAAATAGAAATTGCACCTTAGTTTGGTCCACATGTGAGTCCCTGACTTATGTAACAGTGAAAAAGAAAGGTATAGAAGGCATATAGTGAGGGTTTACAAGATCACAGACATCAGACCTTGACTGACCTGTTCTAGCTAAATGAACACTTCTGTTTTTATTAGCTCACCTGAGCTGAAATCTCAAGTGAGCTTTTCTGATCACATTTTGTCTGTAGTTCATCTGTCCGTATGTAAACTTTTTTTTTTAACATTTTCGACTTCTTCAGATCTACAGGGTAATTTTAACCACTCTTGCCACAAAAATCCTTGGATGAAAGGTATTCAAGTTTGTTAAAATGAAGGGCCACATTCAAAAAGTGATAATTCAGAAATAATAAAAAACCACAGTGTAAGATGAATGTTTTTTGGAGGAATAAAAAGATAAATGATGTGTTTTGGTGACAATTTATTAGAAGGTTTGATCAGTTTATGAATCATATAGAAAATAATCTGTATAGTTCAACAAATAAGTATAGATATCGTGCATTAAATTAAGTACGCATAAAAGAAGAAAATGGCTTAAAAAATAGATATTGTTCCTCATTTTCTCTCTAACTTATCTATCTTACAGCAGTGCATACTGGTATCAGGTAAACCTTTATAAATGATTATAATTTTTTAAACTAATTAAGTCATATTATGCAAGGAATTCTATTTGCACCATTCTCATTTGCGTAGCTGTTTGTATGATGTTGTATGGTACTTGTCTAAGAGATTGTTGGTAGGAGTATAGAGCAGCCTGGAGGTTGCCTGTCACCTGTTGACAGATCCCCAGAATCTGCCACGATATGTCTCTGTATAATGTAGGTATAAGGTGTCCCTGATCATAGTGAACTAGGGTCTGTAGATCATTTAGAGCTGTTTGTACTCTCATTGTATTTACATATCTGTAGCACAAAATCTCTAACATGGTTAGCAATATCATGGGTGGGATATACAATGCAGGGAAACCATTCTTTAGAGAAAACTGTTGTTCTGGTATCAATTCACTGATGTAATGGATTCTATTTAGAAGTCTGATATTCCCTGCTACAGCCTGGTTTATCTTTGTAGACCAGGACTGTCCCCCTACAGCCTCAGTGTACATTTCTGTATCTACATTATACTCATACATCACATAAGGCTGTGCTAACGTGACCTTGGTCATCTCTATAATAGATAAAGCTTCCATGTATCTTAGTGTTTTGTAATAATACACGGCTGTGTACAACATGTCAGAAATACAACCAAACTTGGCTGCTAATTTCAGCATGAAACAAGAGATTTTGTCAGCTCTATACCTAAGTTTGTTTTTGTGTGTATAAGTTTCCGTGTACAATATAAAGGCAGAGTTCTGAAGGACAGAAGCTGTAAGTTTCTGTAGCATTAAGATTTGATACTGTGTCACGATGGGTGAAACTATCATCTCATTTATCGTTTTTAAACTATTCATACATTGTTGTATGTTAAAATTGTTTAATGCATCAAAGTGATGTATTTCACGATTTAGTTCTCTATCAAACTCTATCTCAGAAATCAGAGTTTGTTCCTCTGTACATATGGTGAGTTCTGGGTTATTTAGGACATTTATAATATAAGACCTAATGGAGGAACTGTGTAGCAGGAATGCTAAACCCATCTTATACAACCCATATAGTCTAATAAATAGTTGATGTTGTTTGTCGCCTTGAATTTTACTCAGAAACATGTTGTTGTCTGGAATGAAAAAGTTAGGACAGATGCCCTCATACACCCATTTAAGAATAAGTTTAAAACAGACCCAGAAACCCTTTAGGAGATTTTGTGGACACCAGTGAGGTATTGTATTTTGTTGAATCACCCAGAAGACTGCTGTTTTCATGTGATAGGAACACAGTAATTTATCACCTACTTCATTGTTAATTATTTCTGTTATGAAAAATTTAAGCAAGCCATAAGTTAAGAATTGACAGTGGTTCATTGCATTCATTAGTTTTTGTTCTGCCAGAGAGAAAGAAATTCTCCATTCATGGTCCTCATAATCTCCTAATTTATGCCCAATTGCTACAAAATGACACCCATTCTGTACTATATCATCAACAACATGAGGCTGGGGCCAGGAGTGACATCTTTCTATCCACGAGAAGGCAGATGGAGGCCAAAAGTCGCAAATAAAACAGTGGGCATGATCATATTCTACTTGTCTGTGAAATGATCCACTAACACAGGGTCCATTTGAAACAGACTTTGTTTTTGATAAAGAACATATGTTTTCTCTGTATATAGAACTAGATATATAATGTCTGTTATTCATTTTAACACTTGGTGACAGTAAATATAACAAAGTGTATCCTGGTGGACTATCAGTACAGTCACAGAGGATCAGTGTTTGTCTGTGTGTGTTGTAATATTGAGACTGAGATAATTCCCAGATCACACGGTGATTATTTGGCCAGAACATCACGTCTACATCTGATCCTTCCAGTCTCAATCCTTCTCTTTTACTTCCACTCACCATTACACTGATCTCATCACTTGGTTTTACTTGATTTAACACTTTATCCCAGGTGTCCACCATATCTCTCCTCATGGCCACCACTTGTGATGTCCCCACTTTACGACATAGTCCCACATACACCGACTCTGATATACGTTGTACGGCTGTCTCACTGACAAGGATTAAAAATTATATATTAGTTTTGAAAATCAATAAAGTTATCATCAGAAAAAACACTTATCTATAATTTGGTAAAAAATAATTTTAGGCAATAATAATATCAAGTGAAATCAAAAGCAATCATTATATATAGCATGGTTGTGTATCCCAAAGGGAAAACAGTTCTAGTATCACAACATTTAAAAAAAAATAAAATATATCATTCTTTATTAACATTGGTTGCGATTACAATATGCATTCTTATTTTTTTAATTTTAAGGAAGCTTTAAACACTAGTGAAACATTCCTTTTGGACATCCAAAAAAAACAAAAGATAAAAAAGGTGTACATATTATTAAAGCGTATCATTTTCATCATAGCATTAAAGTACATGCCACCTTTTTTTTTATTGGCTTTCGCAAGTACAAAAAGCAAATATATATATATATATATATATATATATATATATATATATATATATATATATATATATATATATATATATATATATATATATATATATATATATATATATATATATATATATATATATATATATATATATATATATATATATATATATATATATATATATATATATATATATATATATATATATATATATATATATATATATATATATTCGTTCTTACACAACAGTACAGAATTGTAACTTGTAACCGTGAAAGTTACTTCATTTAAAAAAAAAAAAGGGGGGGTGTCAGCAGTAATAAGAAAAAAAGAATTCATGTATTTACAATCAAATAATGCAATCCTTGGAATAACCATTAAATGTTTCATTAAATTTCATCATAAAAATAGATAATTTTTTCAAAATTCATCACAGATTGTTTTGTCAGTGCCTTTCATATTCCATATACTAGTATCTACAACTTTGTTAAGCAAAACTTTTTCTAAAATTCTGTCTATAAATCCCCTTTAGTAGAATATCAATATTTAATTTTGGAATACTTTTATATTTACAAGCAAAAATAATACAATAAAAATAATACAATAAGGATTATCAAGTTTTGTAATTTACACTTATTCTTGTTCTAATATTTACCAAAACGTATAGCTAGTTTGTGAAAACTATAATGATTCTAAAATTTTCCAAAATATTGTATCTATAAGTCTTACCTAGCCTAGGAATTAAGGACCTGTTACCAAAAATTGTTTGTTAATTTCTTTGTTAAATTTAGAATGTTATCTGACCCCGTATCCACAAGCTTTCAATGTCTGTTTTTAGTTCTGCATTAAACAACTTTTACCCATTTTGCATATGAGTGGATGAGTCTTCTAACCCAACTTGATTTATGTGCAGAAATGAATTCTGTGTAACTTTCATTTTCAATCCTCCCTATTTATAGTCCTGAATTATAACATTGTTCTTTATCTTACGTATTTTATATTTCATAAAAAGTGGAACAACTCTGTCGTAGACATTTTTAGAAATTCCGATTTAGGATTTGGTAGTGTAAAAATTAGATGATTTAGTTTAGGTATAATAAGAGTTTTAATTACTGCTAATGTGCCAGTTGGGGTAAGTTTCCTCATGTTCCAACTGCATAGGAGTTTTTTTAAAAATTGATATCGTTTTTTTTTCTAGGAATTTAATTTAAGCATCCCCTCCATATTAACTGAAAATTTTATTCCCAGCAGATCAAAATTGGAATTATCCCAATCAAGTTTCTACCGAGAATGGTGAAAAACTTCCTTTGAAAATATCTTACTTCCAATCCAAACCATTTATGTCTTTAAGAAGTTAATTTTTAACCCTGACAGTTTTGCAAAATTATTTAGTTTCTCGTAGAATATCATCCATAGACGTAGGTGAATCGTCTGAAATAAGAGATGTATCATCAGCATATTGTAAAAGTTTATATTCTTCGCCCTCAATTATTATGCCTTTAATGTCTTTATTATTTTAAATTAGAATTCCGAGTATTTCTGCATATAGCAAAAAGAGGTATGGTGAAACTGAATTGCGTTGTCTACTACCTCTTTGAAGAAAATATATAGTCTAAAATAACACCATTTTGAATTACACATGAATTACACATGTAGAAAGTTTCAATCCATTTCTAATGAAGGATCCAAAGTTGAAAAAGTCCAATGTTTGATATATATATTTTCATGAGATTGTATCAAATTTCAAAGTCTATATGCATTAGTAAACCAGGTATTTGATTTAATTCTGTATAATGCATCAAATCATATATTAATCTAATATTATCCCCCATAAATCTGCCTTTTATAAATCCAATTCGGTCTCTGATATTTAATTTATCTAATTTTGTTTTCATTTGTTCAGAAATACAGCCTGAAGCTATTTAATAAACTACATATAAAAGACTAATGGTCTTTAGTTCACCTGAGCCGAAGGTTCAAGTGAGCTTTTCTGATCACATTTTGTCTGGCGTCCGTCTGTCTGTCCGTCTGTCTGTCTGTAAACTTTTCACATTTTCGACTTCTTCTCAAGAACCGCTGGGCGAATTTCAACCAAACTTGCCACAAAGCATTCTTGGGTGTAGGGGATTCAAGTTTATTCAACTGAAGGGCCACGTTTCAAAGGAAGATAATTGGGAATTAATGAAAATTTGGTGGCATATATTAAAAATCGTCTTCTCAAGAACCACTGTGCCAGAAAGATGAAACTTATGGGGAAACATCTTCAGGTAGTGTAGATTCAAGTTTGTTTAAATCATGACCCCCGGGGGTAGGGTGGGGCCAAAATGGCCGACCAAATTTTACACAGAAATATATAGGAAAATTCTTTAAAAATTTTCTTCTCAAGAAAGACAAATCCATAATTCATTATATTTAAATGGAAGCATCCTTAGGTAGTATAGATTAAAGTTTGTCCAAATCATGACCCTGGGGGGCAGGGCGGGGCCAAAATAGCTGACCAAAGTTTTACACAGAAATATATAGGAAAATTCTTTAAAAAATTTCTTCTCAAGAAAGACAAAGCCATAATTCATCATATTGAAATGGAAGCATCCTTAGGTAGTATAGATTAAAGTTTGTTCAAATCATGGCCCTTGGGGGCAGGGCGGGGCCAAAATGGCTGACCAAAGTTTTAAATAGAAATATATAGGAAAAATTCTTTAAAAATCTTCATATCAAGAATGATGAAGCAATAACTGATCGTATTTATATGGGAGCATCCTCATGTAGTGTAGATTCAATTTTGTTCTAATCATGACCCCCGGGGGTAGGGCGGGGCCAAAATGTCCGACCAAAGTTTTACATAGAAATATTTCTTTAAAAATCTTCTAAAGAATAGCAAAGCCATAATTCATCATATTTAAATGGAAGCATCCTCAGGTAGTGTAGATTCAAGTTTGTTCAAATCGTGACCCCCGGGGCTAGGGCGGGGTCAAAATGGACGACCAAAGATTTGCATAGAAATATCTTGGAAAATTCTTTAAAAATCTTCTTCTCAAGAAAAGCAAAGCCATAATTCATCATATTTAAATGGAAGCATCCTCAGGTAGTGTAGATTCAAGTTTGTTCATATCATGACCCCCGGGGGTAGGGTGGGACCACAATGGCCGACCAAAGTTTTACATAGAAATATCTAGGAAAATTCTTTAAAAATCTTCTTCTCAAGAATAGCACATCCATGATTGGTCATGGGATTACTTTTGGATGTAAACTTTACAATAATAAACCAATTTCTACTTTTTCCTAGCCACAGTGCTCAGGTGAGCAATGTGGCCCATGGGCCTCTTGTTTAAAGATTGTTTTGGTTTTCCTGATTTTGTAATACAAGATATAATTCCAAGTTTATTAGACCCGATAAAATTTGAAAGATCATATGAATTGTTTATTGCTCTTGTAATAAAAGAACCCGTATCTTTCAAGAAAAACAAAACAAAACTCACAAGTAAATCAATCAGGGCCTGTACTTTAATCATTTTCATTTGTTTGAGAAATTTAGTACTTTAGAATTTGTTACTGGTCCTTCAAAGCTGCTTGATTCTTCTATTTAAATTTGGAATATGTTTATAATTTTTCAATTTTTCATGAATATTTTCTGATTCTACATTTTTTCTTTTTTATACATACTTTCATAAAAAGCCTTTGTTTCCTCTAAATAAATCTTTTTGAGTAGAAGCAAATGATCCATCATCTCTTTCTATTTTTGATATTTGCTTACTTAAATAGTTTCTTAATTCTAAACTAAAACAATATTTTGATGGTTTCTGTCCTTCTTCAATCCACATTACCCTTTGAACCTTACTTTTCTTATTTCTTCTATTTCTGTTTATTTTTCTGCAAGTTTATTTATTGGCTGTATTGTTAGATTTTGTTCTAATTCAAATATTTCTTTTTCTATTTGTTTTTCTCTTTCAATTGTTTCCTTCCTTTTGTAAGTGGAATAAGAGATTAACTTTCCTCTTATTTCCATTAATAGAATATCAAGAAAAAATTTATAGTATGAATAATGGCATAGAAAACACTGGTAAAAAATAAATCACAACTTGACTTTTTTGTATCAATTAAATATTGTATATTTCTTTGATACTATGTGCATATATATCCCCAAGAAGATTGCCTTGATTACTATCACTTCATTTGAAATTTCACCATTTAACAGGTTTTTTTTTGGTAAAAAATCCTCCCTATGCCAAAAATGTGTGTCTAACATGTTGGGCATGCGCATTTTTTGTCAATCCTTTTGGACATCGATAAAAAAGGTGTACATATTATTTAAGCGTATCATTTTTAACACAGCTATAGGGTATCATTCTCCTGAAAAAAGTGTCTAAAGACCATGGACTACTAGAAAATAAAAAACAGAATTCACTGTTGTTAACTCGAATCGAATTTGAAAAATTAAGTGAATAATGTATTCTAATGCAACCTTCTTGTAAAATGTATTTTTATCGGATAATACATTGATACAATGACCTTGTCAGCAAAT